CGGGCGCGCTTGTATCAGTGCGCGTAGAGAGCCAAGCTCCGGAGAGTGCGGCATTACCATCTTCTTGTAGGCGACCCTTATCTCGTCGAGGGAGGCGTCCGGCCTGATCTGGAGCACTTCGTGGTAGTCCTTAGGGTTGGGAGGAGGCATCGCTGTTGCTTAGGTGGATGAAACGCAGAAATACGCGATATCTGGTCTTGACTGACGCCGCAAGGAATCTGAGGGTGTGGAGAGAGAGCCAAAGCCATAAAAACCGGGATACAACGCGGCGGAAGAAAGGAGTCCGTAGCAGGGTCGCAGTCGCTGGCAGGATGGCATATTTCTCAACACAAAGGTGTCATATCGCTCGTGTTGTACACGTTCCGTGTTCGCTATTACCTCTACAGGTCCTTCGGAAGAAGGTGCGTTGGTGCCGAGTGCCCTAACCTTCTCTGATGATTGCTTCTAGACTGAGCAACGCATCCATGGGTAAGGGCATGTCGTTCATGTGCTCGCAACCACTGGCTACATGCATGTCAGTACGGGCAGGATGCGTGCGCGCTCTTTCTCAACAGATCATAAGGAAAGCAAGTCAGAAATGGAAGGTATTTGGGGGGCAAGATGATCTTCCGGCATTTACCGTTTACGTGTTTGTCACATCTTGCCACCGCTCGGAAATTCCGGAATTCAAAACACGACGCTCTCGTCTAGGTATTTATCGTCAAGAGGATCTGAATCACAACCAGGCGCAGGTGCATATTGTCTCCTATTGATCGGCCCTTTAGCTCACGGTCTGTCGTCCCGAAATTACCTTGTCGACGGTCTGCGACAACATCGGAGGGACGCCCTTCCTCCAACATCAAGGTCTACGCTCCTGTGGAATAGAACCTAGACGCGATACTGGATGTAACGCAACAGCCCATGCCTTCATCTGCTCTAAACCTACCGTGACGTGATGGTCTATACCATACATCTCCAAAATCATGGTGTCCGTGACGCTTTCCCTGGCTCCATAGGCCGTATAACGGTTTAATTCTATACCAGTACGGGAACGTGCACTACTGGTTGCATTCGAGAATTACGTCTCCGTCTAGCACGTAAATGATAGGCGACCTTCCACGCCCCCGACACCGCTGGACTCTAGATTTTGCACTGCTTGCCGCTACCACCTCTGTATTCTTCTTTCATGGTCTCCACGCTGTCGGTCAAGCCTTATCTCCGGAGGTCTTTCTGGCCTTAGGTATGTAGGCGCAAACACAATAGATGCGGGGTGAGCATACTATGGAGATCATCCCCGCCTGGGCCTGGGCTGTCTTCTAAGAAACGCTACTCTGAAGTTGCCGTCCCGAACTATAGCCGTTTTCCTCCTTTTGAGCTTGGTCAAAGAACAAACACAACGAACCTTGAACGTGTCGAGGCTGCGTCTTCCGCCCTTTCCTTCGATATATTTCCGGCCTGCTTGCATCACTCCAGTGCGCTTCGGAAAAGCACGGCGGCGTTCTTGATGAATTGATGCGGGGCGCGGTCTTGCTACCTACAATCACATGTCCCGTTCGCGGTTGTGTCGTGCGGGTGCGGCCACGCTGGACGAAAGCCCAGGCACTCACCTTTTGGTAATTCATTCATGCTGACTGTCTTGGATGCCACTCTTTCGGCGTCCATAACTCAGCAACAGGACATGTGGCTGTGGAGTTCCTTCTCACTCGTTGTTACGTTCTTGGGCGAATAAAGCTAGAATTCATGGGAGTGCAGCATGATGCATGATGCTGCAGGGCGTTGTCGAGCCAAACTGTGGCTCTCCCATGCTCTTGCAGGTTACTTTGACTCCGACGATGCGGTTCGATCAAGTCGATGCCATGAAACCCTGGATCAGGACAGGAGTCCGACAGCTGTCCACCTCGCTGTACCGCGACAGGCACCCCTGCTGAAACAAAGCCGACTTTTGAACGGTGATTCTGGCGGATTATGCAACATTTCGCTGATCTGCGATCGCGGATCTCGGCCTCAGTGTAAGCCAAATAACTGTACTTATCCCGTCAAATAGCATCGCAGTTCTGCCGTCGGATGGTGCGCTACGCACAGAGCCACGATTACCAATGCAGGTTCCCCTGCATCCTCTTTCAGAGTTTGATAGTCAAAGGCGGTTGTGAAGACTGGGATGTGGCGCCGGGTTGTTAACTCTGTCTCCACGAGCAATCTTCGGGCATCGGTAATGGTACTCCTGCATCAATGTGTCTCACGGAATGGCGGCCCGTCGGGATCGGGAGTTCGCTGGTATATTAGAAGGGTCAGTGCCTTACGATAAATAGAAATGGTCCAGAGGCTAATGCACGACAGTGTGACTCGTCAATGCGGTGATTGGGCGGATGGCTTGCTGTACTCACACGCGATCGTTTATTCTGTCATAGTGGGTTGACAATGTTTTCATCTGCGTACCCCACGTCGCACCGCTTCTCGGTCTCTGGGTTCTGTTTCTGCCATCGCTGAGGCATCCATAGGAAAGCGAAGGCTGGAACCATCATGGACACCTGATAAGATGCTCAGATTAGGCCTACGCACTCGGAGCCTTCATTGCTCAAGCTTTGATGAAATCTGGTAATTATGGTGTTCGACCGTCTCTCAAGCTTTCTCTGTTTGATGCTACCGCTGCACACGGATGCAGCACGGTAGAGATCGGCTGTTGATGCCTCCGATGAGCTTATCGTGAATAACGCAGATCAGTTGGACCTTGTTTATGCTACGTGGTACGCCCTCACTCGACGCTGTTCTCATTACCCTCAACATTCATGGGTGAGGCACAGAACATCGCTGGCCGTATGCTTATCTGCGTGTTTATCGCATGTATGTGAGTTCGGAAGGTCCGCCTGCGTTTCAATATCGCTATTCTGACGTTGGGCTAATCTTTTTGGGATAACCACTACACAGTCTTTTCTGCACTTATAAAATTACCTTGCAGATCTCAGGTCTTTGAAGTTACTGGTTGGTTGCTACAGCATGTTTCTCTTCCTATTATTGACTGGGCCCTCCCACGAACCCGCCAGCTTGCAGTAATGTGGTAAAGCTGGATACTAGTAGTTGAGGCAGTACACTGAGATGAAATGAAGGATCCTGAAGATGGTTCATACGGGTTTCTGTGTAGACTTCGTCTACGCCTGGACCATCACCGAGGTCGGTAATCAAGATGCCCTGAATCGTATCTACTGGTATGTCGTAACCCGCGTCCTGCATTTCCAGTAGCCAACTGAGTATTCTCTGAAATCAGGGGCGGAGGTGTATGCCCTCAACCTTATTACAGACAAATGCTCCACACGCTGATTCCCCATACAGATCACCGTGTTCTTAGGGGTATGGTTTTATATCATTTTCACTGGTGTCTGCCGCTACAACGTTGGTCCAGGTCTTGTTGCCGGCCTTGTGCATTGGTAAGAAACCTCGTTGCTCCAATAGGCCCAACCTACGCAGGCCATGTGGATATTATATTCAGCGAATTTGGATATGCAAGTGGACAATTTACAGGGTAATGTATAAATTATGACCAGCTTCAGTGAGCCGTCACTAGGCACCATTTGTTTTCCTTGCCGTGTGTTCCGTCTGAATACCTGCTTTAAGTATAGTCTTACATGGGGGGCTTTCTGTAGTCTATATTGGCTGTTGTGTGATTCGGTAAGGTGCAGGAGGATTATATATGCCACATCAATTCTGGCCGACACTTGCCAATAACCAACCTCTGGTTGCAGTGAGTCGGCCACCATTATGTTGCGGAAGGGGCTTACATAACATCTTGTCCCATCCACAGCGACTGCTGTACTGTGGTAATAGGTTGTTTGATTTTCCATGTATAATGCTCTAATTACTTCCCCTTACCAGCTACATAATACCCTTCTGGAATGTCTTTCGCCATCGCAAACTTCCGCTGGTGAGCTGCATCTCCCTTTATCCTCTTCATCTTTTAATACGGCCGAAGGTTACTCTTGCAGGTGGCCTGTCCAGCGCGGCCCTGGCAGACCTTCTTTTGGCCGAAGTACTCATCTACCAGTTGAACAACAATCGAACAGGGTTTGATAGGTAAAATCCCCCTGCTGTATGTATGTCGGTGAGTTAGAAAGTCTCGATATTACAGGTCGGACAGCTGGATCAAATTTAGGTTGGCATACGCTCTAAATACTGGAGCTATAACCACGTACGCCTCGTGCGTAGACGGTACCGGTAACGTTGCTGACATATGATCAGTATCATCTCTGTCGTAATCTTGAAAACCGTACGTGCCATGGTCCGTGGTGAATGCAGGTCAGATGGGATATAATGGGTATGCACGTAGTATGGCTCTCTACGGACCACAATGGTCTTCCTGGGACTAATAGAGATCCAAAGCAAAGGTATGGAAAGTGGTCCTTACCCCCAGTCTGTCGTCTAAATTGCTCGAATAGTATATGCAAATTCGTTTCTCGCAAGGTCAGCACACCTTTTCATTCAAGACTAAGCCGAAACCAGGCTCACCTGTGCGTAGTCTCAACTCTCGGCGTTATATACTGAACAAATGCAGTCTGCCTCAACAATATCAGGACCTGGAACTCAACCTAGAGAGCGGAGGGATAGTGGCGAGACCAGCAGCTTCGAGCCTCACGACGCGGATCCATATCGCGCAAGAGACGATAATGACCGTCGATGGACTGGTTCGTTCGTCCGAGGCATCTGAGTGCGCGTGCTCACTTGACTTTGATCAAGCAACTGGGAGACTTGCGCAAGAACAATTTCATTATCGAGGAACCCGCGGGGTTACAGTACCTGCTCAACCGTCGTATATTCCGGTTATTACCTGTGACATCTCCATTGATCTTTGGAGTTCGCGTTGATACACAACGATCCCTTGATTCAGATGACCCCACTATTCCTTCGCAAACTTATCCCTCGTCAGCTTGCAAATCTCCGTGAACGCTTTGCCGAGATATTCGAAATCCGAAACCTGTGTCGGATGATCGGATCAGCAGAAAGGTTCAGTGAACGCTGATGGCTTACCTCCAACCACACTGCAGCGCTACACCGTGTCCACCATCTGCCGTTGTGGTAGTAATGAGCAGCATAGCAGTGCCATTCAAATAGCAGTTGCTCTTTCAGGAACTGGTCGACTTCTAGCGTCGCTGGTACACCCGCCAACGGCAGCTCGACGTTGACCTTGGGGCACACGTTAAGAAGGGTAGCGTGTAGCAGGCGAGTGAGTAGTGACGAACCGCGTTTGCGGTCAATTCTCCCTTCTCGTTCTCCATAACGCTTGTGCCGATAATCTCTGCCAGCCGCTTCCCTCCGTCTAGCGCCAGCTGGTGGCAATACTCGTTGATCTTGCGCTCGCCCCCAATCCACTTCCTGAATTCGAGCGCTACAGAGCACTCATGAGGCATTACACAAAAGAACAGAGCCGGGGAGAGGGTACCGGCTGGGATGCTGAGGTACGGAACGTGGTCCAATGTACCCGTCCCTAGAAGAACGTCAGCCGTCAAATCTATGCTTTTGCTCGTGGTGCTATGGCAGGGCTCACATTCGTGCTGATCGACGAAGTTGGGCGCTCTGGGGTCAGTGGGAGATACATACTCATGAGCGGTCGGTATAGCTGATTTAATGATGTGATGATTGCTGTGTCAATATTGTCTGTCAGCTCTCCGCTTTGGCAAACGGTGTCGAGTTTAATCATGATACTCGAAGATCCGAAGCATACCCACCGCCTTGGTACATAAAGTACAGAGCAGCTTCGTTTCGTGGACATCCACTTGTGGCAGTTCTATGCCGAAGTCCCGCATTCGCTATGTGGCCGGGCATATAGAAAGCGGAGCGCTTACAGAGACAAAGAAATCCGGATCTGCTTCCGCCAGATTGATGTCGACTTGTCCGATCAGGTGAGCACCGTCGACGACGCTCCATACGCCTTCTTCCCGGCATATCTTCACCATTTCGATCCATGGAAGGCGGACTCCGGGAGTGGAGATTATTCCGTCTACAACAGCGACGACCTTGCGTTTCGCGTTATCAGCTGAGCCTTCGGTGACACATTCACATTCAGATAAGGACTGGTCAGTGTCTTCAGGATGACTCACCGGAGTCAGAGGAAACAACTGAACGGACATGCTTCCTCCAATCATCGATGATCTTGGCGTGAGTGCATGGGAATATCAATGGAAAGTTGGAAACAACAGGATGGGGAGGTATATCGGATAGGTATTGCATCGTCTGCGCAATAGTACCGTAGGTAGTAGAAGCTAGGAACGAGCGGTACGGTATGAGGGGAGGTGCAATATATTCTCATGCATACTGCAGGCCCTTACCACCAATGATAATGTCGCCTTCGTGCCATTCAAAATTGCGCAGTACGGTATTCAATCCATGAGTTGCGTTGGGTACCAGAACGCACTCGTCAGCTGACTCGGCCCCGATGAATTGCGCCACCAGCTCCCGGCTATGTCGAAGGCGCGTGCGGTGCGTGAACCGCATGAAGCGGTCGGGACATGCCTCTATTTCAGCTGCGATCTTTGCGCACTCTGATGCAACAGGTAAAGGAAGGGAGCCGTATGCGCCTACAGAGGGGTGTGAGTCAGGCCGCGGACAGATAAGCACCCCAAGTGGATGTACAGAGAAGAGTATAAGTGCATCCCGGGTCTAACCCCTGAGTCGCGAAGTATATCATGGAGTATGCATCAACGTGGTGTTATCTACTTGTAGGTCTCATGCAAGACTTAGGCATCTGGTAATGCTTACCATTATTCAAGTTTATAAAGCCATCTTCGAAGGCAAAATACTGAAGCATAGGATGCCCAAAGTCTGGAGGTGTGCTTTGAGGGTCGTAAGTGTGGCATTTGCCTTCTGATGGGAGGTGAGATGCGGCCAAAGTAATCATCATGGTTGATCGCGTTGCAAGAGTACCTGTACCGCCCAGACCTTAGCTGTGGTCGACTCAGAAAGCCGGCTTGCAGCCGGGGTGTAGGGAGTGGCGGGTCAATAGATACAAATCAGCCTAAATACAAATAAACATTGGTGGAATTGGTATCAATACAATACATCAATTGCAATACATTGCAGGTGATTGCGGAACAGGGGCTATAACTACTTCTCCCATCTCCATGTCTGACCACCCCACACATCTTTGGGTTGCCCAGGATGGTATAGCTGTCCTGCTAAACCACCTTGGAAACCTCTGTTTGACTGCATTAATATTGAGCTCCTAGGTGTTAGTATGCCTGACAATGAACTATTACATTCCTAGCACTCAATACAATGTATATACAGTTAACCACTTTTGTAATGCACCACCCCTTTCCAACATGTATTTGAGCCATAACTCATGAATCACTGCATATGTCTCTTTGGTGTAAGGCCAAAGATTGTAGTAGTTTTTGAGCTCTATCTAACTGTGTGAACATTGTCAAGAGTGAAGTTGATCTTGCTTTACTAGGAGGCATTTAAAACATATAGTCAAAGTCTATCTTCACAAGGAAGGGGGGGAGGTATAAAATGACTACACAGTAAAACTCTCCATGAAATTCTGTGTATTTTAGAGCCCAGAATTGATGAAATTGACTACATGGTTGCAGAGATATAAGGCCAGAAAGTTGGGATTTTGGTATAAGATTTCAGAGTTTTACACCAAAACCCCCAACTTTCTGCACATATATCTCCACGATGGTTTAGTCAATCAGGGATATTCTGGGGTTGAATTACTCAGAATTTCGAGCTCTTTCTAGCTAGAGCATGCCAGAACCATTGGAGGGAGATTTACACATAATTTGGTACCAGTCCCCATTGTATTTAGCCTCCTTTTCCAGCCATAATACAGCAGAATGTCTTGGTAATACTACCATGATGTAACGCAAAAGCAGTACTACAAGTTTACATCTTACACCAAAGAGAAATATGCAATCATTGCTGAGATACAAGTTGTGCAAGGGTGGTGCAATACTTTTGCAGTTCACCGTATAGATCAGCAAACACCTATACTACAATTCACCCTATCCTGCAAAGGAGGGGTAAGATACCTCCGCCAGACAGGGCTTCCCCAGTCTTGACAACAGTAAGTGCCATGCTCCATGGTGAATGCGGGCTAGATGGGATATACTAGAATGGTTTATGAAAACAGTACTAGTATGGTTCCCTGCCCTCACAGCGGTCTTCCTGGGACTTGTAGAAATCCAGAGTAAAGGTATGCCAGGGGCTCCTTACCCCAAGTCCATAGCCTGAAATTGCTCGCATAGTCTATACAAATTGTTTTCTCGCAAGGTATGTCCAGCTTCGCATTCGAAATTATGTCGAAACCACGCTCACCTGCGCGTAGTATGAATTCTCGGCGTTACGTATTCAATGAGTCCAGTTTTCTCGGTACCCCAACAATATCAGGACCAGGAACTTAACCTACAGAAGGGTGAGGCAGTTGCACGACCTTCGAATCTCATGACACGGATCCATAACACGCAAGAGACGATAAAGACGCTCGACGCACTGGTATGTCTGTTCAAGGCATCTCTGTGCGCATGCTCACTTGACCATCATCAGGAACTGGGAGATATGCGGAAGAGTAAGATCATTATCGAGGAACCTGTGCGATTCCATTGGCTTCTGGGGCGCTGTGTAGCGGCGAGAGGGATTTGTATGCTCGCGTGGTTTTCACGAGGAACCCATCTAACTATACATCCCGGTTATTAAACTGTCCCTTGATCCAGACTGCCACTATTGCTTCGCAAACTTGTCCCTTGCCAGCTTGCAAATCGCAGTGAACGCTTTGCCGAGGTACTCGAAATCCGACACCTGTATCGGACGGTTGGGATAGGTAGGCAGGTGGGAAGACTGCGGTGAGTGACGATCGCTTACCTCTATCCACACTTGAGCGCTACACCGCGTCCACCACTGTCCGTTGTGGTAATAGTGAGCAGCATAGCAGTGCCATTCAAACAGCAGCTGCTCTTTCAGGAACTGATCGACTTCGAGCGTCCCTGGCACACCCGCCAGCGGCAGCTCGACGTTTACCTTGTGGAATGAGTCAAAATCGGGAGTTGGACTCCAGGTAGGTGCATATCAACAAACCATATTGGCAGTCAGTTCTCCCTTGTCGTTCTCCATGACACTTGTGCCGAGAATCTCGGCCAGCCGCTTCCCTCCGCCTAGCGCTAGCTGGTGGCAATACTCGTTGATCTTGTGCTCGCCCCCAATCCAGTTCCGAAATTCGAGCGCTACCAAACATCTCTAAGGAATCACACAAAGAACTGATATGGGCAGAAGCATACCCGCTGGGATGCTGAGGTAGGGAACATGGTCCATTGTGCCGGTCCCTATAAACGTTAGTCGTCAAATCTTATGCTTTCGCTCGTGATGCTATGGCAGGGCTCACATTCGTGCTGATCGACAAAGTTGGGCGCTCTGGGGTCAGTGGGAGATATATATGCATGAGAGGTCGGTATGGAAGACTTGATGATATGCTGGTTGCTGAATTGGAATCGTTGATCAGCCTTCCAATGTCATACGTGGAATCTAGGGGTTGCATAAGACCGGGAGGATATTCACCGTTTTGGCACGTAGAGTACAGAGCAGCTGCGTTTTGCAGACATCCACTTGTGGCAGTTCTATGCAGATGTCAACAGATAATTCATGTCACTCAGACCTATAGGAAGCACGCTCACAGAGACCCAGAAGTCCGGCTTCACTTCGGCCAGATTGATGTCGACTTCTTGACCCACCATGTGAGCGCCGTCGACGACGCTCCATACGCCTTCTTCCCGGCATACCTTCACCATCTCGGTCCATGGAAGGCGGACTCCGGGAGTGGAGATTATTCCGTCTATCACAGCGACGATCTTGCGTTTCACGGTATCCGCTGAGCCTGGGTGACACTTTCAGATATGACTGATCAGCATCTTCAGGACGACTCACCGACGTCAGAGGAAACGACTAAACGGAGATGCTTCCTCCAATCATCCACAATCTTGGCGTGAGTGCACGGGAATATCAATGGAAAATCTGAAACGATAGGATGGGGAGGTATATCGGATAGGTATTGTATCGTCTTCGAGATTGCACCGTAGGTAGTAGAAGCTAGGAACGAGGGTACAACATCAGGGGAGTTACAACGTATTTCACGCATACGGTGTCCATACCACCAATGATAATGTCGCCTTCGTGCCATTCGAAATTGCGCAACACAGTATTCAATCCATGAGTTGCGTTAGGTACTAAAACGCACTCGTCGGCTGACTCGGCGCCGATGAATCGGGCTACCAGCTCCCGGCTGTGCTGGAGGCGAGTGCGGTGTGTGAACCGCATGAAGCGGTCGGGACATGCCTCTATTTCAGCTGCGATCTTTGCGCACTCTGATGCAACAGGTAAAGGAAGTGAGCCGTATGCGCCTAGAAGGGGTGTAAGTCAGGCCGCGGACGGTAAAGCACACCAAGTGGATATTCGGAGAAGAGCAAAAGTGCATCTCGGGTCTAACCCCTGAGTCGCCACTAATATCATGTGGTAGTCTGAACATATTGTTTACAATGCTTACCATGGTTCAAGTTTACGTAGCCGTCTTCGAAGGCAAAATACTTGAGCATAGAATGCCCCAAATCTGGAGGTTTGCTCTGAGGATCATAAGTGTGGCATTTGCCTTCTGATGGGAGCTGAGATGTGACCACGGCCATGGAGGATCGTCTTCGACTCTTGAGTGCAAGAGCACCTACGAGTCCTATAAATACTGAACCGGAGCCTTTCCCAAGCAATACGACAGTGACTCGATATTCCGAATTATCGAGTCACCTGTACTCGCGAGTCGCACGGCGATTGGCAGTCTGAGTCTCGAGTGACCGTACGCTGCCGCCGGCACTGTATAGTGACCTAAATATAGCAGCCGTCCCGGGCCTGCTTGACCTCTTGTCTGAATATTCGAGTCCCCCCTGCCTGGGGTTATTCATTCGCTGTTCGACATTAGACTATCGGCTAAATCAAGGCGACTTATGCATGCCCTCCACGCAGGGCAGGCAAATTCTGTGGCCCATCGATGCGAGCGGCGACGGATTCATTTACGGGTGGACCAATCCTCTATTATGTGTAGCAGGCATTCTTGACGTGGAGTTGGTACGTTCGCTTTCGAAACGTCGAGGTTGTTAGACTCACTGCATTGATAGAGAGATGCAGCTGAGCACTGCCTTCTAGCCTTCTCACAATCTGAGTACGGGCTTCACGTCCAAACCATCTGCTCTGGAGATCCCGTTATCCTTGGGCGATGCTCTGCTCAAGGGCAAAAGCCTGGCTCCAGAATGTCTCCCCCATTCGTTGCGATTGAGCTACCTGGTCTTCCGGTGTATGTTGACTACGCGCTTCCCGCCTTCTCTGCTGATTCAGATGCAGGTCGAGTGAAGACTTCGGTTTCATCTATTATCGTAGACCGAAAGCAGGTTCCTTACATTATTATACATTGAAGGCTTGGGACGACATAGGGCGCTCGCATGCCGAGACGACTTCCAGGAAACTCAGCTATCCTCCAACGTACGTGCAGGGAGCAAACGTCCAAAGAAGGCTTAACGAGACCGTGATCAGCCAGGTTTGTACGCAGGCGTACTGCAGGCTTTCCTGAAGATATGATTAAACTTGGATAGATGAACTACGCCCATAGCTTGGAGGCGCGTTTACCGGGTACAGACCAGACTCCTTCAAGTCATGGCCGCAGAGCAAGTTTCCTCTCCACAGCGGGTAGAGTTACAAGTCTAGTCGGGCTATATCTCCGACATTTGCACCTTCCTGTGTCGTATGTGCTAGCATTGAACTCGCCTGGTCCGTTTTCTGGTTACATATGGAATTCCATCTGGCAATTTATGACCTGGATATCCATGACCGGTACGTACTCCATTTCCGCAGGAGGGACAGCGCCGCTGAACCCACTACTTGCAGTCCAACAATGTGACACGCGCACTCATCAGTTCTCTACTCTGCCCACGAAATTCCGATCTTTACGGAGTCACCCAGGAGTTCCCGTCCAGGACTATTGCGCAAAATACGATACGTAAGTTTCGGTTGACCCAAAAATGCCGAGGGTACACTGACCCTCGTCCGGCAGATTTTATAACTTCGTCTGGCTAGTCCTCAATGATGTGATTGTTGGCACCGCCGTTGGAACGTTCATTTGCGAGAATCACAATGCACTCGCCATCGAATTGACGACATTTGTTGAGGTAAGGTCGCAGCTAGCATCAGTACACATGCTTCATATCAACGCTCGATTTTCTAGGACCACCTCATTGGAAGCATACAGAGGATTCTTATCTGGCTCGACAATTGGCCGGCCGGGCTAAAGTTAAACACCGAGCTGAGCAACTTCTACTGCAGCACATTCATAGGTATCATAGGACTCTGGGGGCGTACGTATCCCTCCTAATAACCTGACTAGATACTTAACGCATCCGCCCTCAGAAATTCTCAGCTTCGTGATACCTTACCTCCCAACACTCATCTACGCCGTCGGTGTCCTCGGCTCGTGTGGATCCACCATGGTAGTCTCGTCGTTGTTGGATCTGCTCAACGTCTTCACTGTGCACCTCCATATCTGTTACTATATCGGGGCGGCTGTCTATCGCCAACAGCTGCGCACGCTTGATTCTTTATGGAACCTATTCCGCGGTAAGCACTTCGCCTACCTTTGCTGTCGGTTTGATTTACATGATGGGTAGGAAAGCGATTTAACGTGCTGCGAAATCGCATCGACAATTGGGACTATGACATAGACCAGCTGCTGCTGGGGACGATCCTCTTCACTCTCGTAGCCTTCTTATTCCCCACCGTCCTCACATATTACTCGCTCTTCGCCGTGGTTGGTTGCCCTCTTCTAGCAGCGTGTCCGCAAGCTGATGTTCGCTGTAGCTGCAATTTTGTGTCATTCTTATACGTGCGAGCCTCGAAACCCTCCTGGTTTTCATGAACCATTTCCCACTGTTCGCGTTAATGCTGCGTGTCAAGGATCCTTGGCGACTTCCAGGTAAGACTCTGGATATTTAGCGCTAATTGGAGCTGAGATGTCTCGGAGGTCAGGTGGGATATATTTCGAGCTCAGAAAGCCGTCGACTTCTTCTCCGCCCGCTATGATTATTCGTGTAAGTCACTTCTCATTGGGTCGGTGATTGATCATGACGCCGCCGAACCTCGAAGAATCAGCCAGTCCCGTTCTTCTCCGTCTTCTCCCAGTTTGGTAGGTCACTCTCCTCCTGCCTGACTCCCCAGCCGTCCTTATCAATCTGTCTCCTCAGTTCGCATCTGGTCTCGTATCGCATCCCACTACAACCCACTGCGACTCCTCCGGTGCCTAATCACCGGTAACTATCTCACGTCAATTCCTGGATACTCTATCCGACATCGTGGAATGCCCGAACAAGAGGCGAGTAAGGCGAAGAAGGGTTGATATAGTGAGTTGCTAGACTAGATTCTTACGAGCTGGCTATTAATACATGCATCATTATCATCGCCTCCGTCTCCCTGCGTAGCTGTAGCACATGTTATACTGGTACATACATCAAGTAGACCCAGAGAAAAGAAAAGGGGACGAATAATCAATCGACCCATGTCGGCTCAACCTCGAATTTCGCCCGAGGGATGTACTTCCCACCTTGCAGTAATTCCTCTGCTACCATCCGCAACTTCACTGTGCGATGGACGCGAAGACCGTCTTTCTTCTGTCGGCGGATCGTCCGTGGACGTCCAAGGTTTACTCTGTGTTGATTACAAATATTAGATCCTGACCGTTGCGGAGAAGCTCTTCGTACATACACTAGACCGGACAGCCACTCTGTCCCATCTTCTCCGTTCTGGTATCTCTCCTCCATGGGCAGCATTTCCAAGAGCCACCAGCCCTTGGCAAGCACGAGCTGGTCATAAATCGGCGAGAGTGCGTCCAATATATCTTCCTCTTCCTCACTCAGGAATGGGCTCCGTCCGTTGAGCGGGCTATCCTTGCTAGCTTGGAGAAGTGCTTGTGCTGATGCAAGGAATGACTGTTCTGGGCCCAGTGGCGGGCGTTCCTTTACTGCGGGATACAATGAAGCGGGGTCGAGGCCTATGGTGCGTAGTTGACTGGCGTGAAAGGCTATGCCGATCTTGCACTCGAAGCATTGACGGATCATCCATCTCAACGGGATGCGTGCCAGGCTATGCGGGGTATCATTGGGTACCGAACCCCCACCGACATCTGACGTGATCGGACATCAGATTTCGTTGGAGAAAGCCGTGGTGCGTTCCACCCACCGCAGTGACAGCCTGCAAACCAGACCTCGAGGACGTCCGTCTCGCGCTGGTAATCGTGGCTGTATTGCCTCTCCAGATTGCGGTGCACCTCGTCCTTCGTACTGTCTTCAGAGAACCTGCTCTTTTCCTCTGGGTATTTAGAGGATCCGCCGGATCGTTGCGACATTGTAGAGGTTCGGAAGGGTGACGGCAGCCCCTGGTAAATCGAGTATATCGAGGATGTCGTTAATGCGGACGATCGCTGGCCGTTCGACTTCGGCATGTCACCTGGCTGCGTGCCCAGCTTTTGCTGCTCTTCAGTCGGTTTATTCCAACTAGCCCAGGAGGGACAGGAAGTGAGAGGATTCCAATCTGAAAGAGGACCTTGATGCCCTTACCAGTTATGCTTGAACTTCGCCCTATGTTCGTCGAGACTCAACGCGTGTCGGAAATATTTGACAGCAGTGTTGGATGTTGTGAAAGGTAGAGTTCGCGGGATCAGCCCGACCGAACAAACTGTGTCCCTATCCGAAGCCGATTGTGGGTTGGGCTGATAGTTCTGAAGTATGAGATTGGCTTACCAGACGCCGAGAAACTCGACTTCGACATCGATGCAGAAAGCCTTTTTGAACGCTGTGCTTTGCTCCCAGCCTTCCTCGTCAGCTTTTGTGTACATCTTGTATGCAAAGGGGATTTGCTGATGATTACAAGCCGGGAGTAGGCCGACCTAGACGCATAGCCGATTAATTGATAGGCCATCTACAGTCCAGGAAACGCAAACCTTGTGTATCATGCCGGCCAAAGCTCTGGCGGTATACGCGCCCCTGGAGAACCCGAAAATACATATCTTGTCTCCAGCCTCGTCTATATACTTATGGTTAGACTTGGTTCGCTAACGCTGACTGAGGTTCACGGACAATTCTCCATCAAAAACTCATAGCCGCCCATAACGTGGGCGTCCAGGTTCCATGCAATCATCATGTCGACTGTCTTCGATATGTTCGTCCAGAATGGCGTGGCTACCTGTGGTACGGTGTAAGTGCCTATACCCGCCTGCGAAGTAATTGTAAGTCATAAGACCAGAGGAGAACAGGTTCTCTCTTACTTGGTAGTATACCATTTGCCGGTGCCTGTCGTCTTTCTTCAGCAAAGAAAACAGCTGGACGATGTTTGAATTCTGTGATCCGAAGGTCAGCGTTTCCGGCACCCTCATGATACATGTATGCGTCGTAAGTTCCTCACACTTACATCATTATCGAATTGGTCTCCGGTACCGTCGAAACATAGTACAAGGTTCCTAGGTTCACCCGGAACTCTTGACGGGATTACATCCTCATCGACGATAACTCTGCCGCCTCCAGAGCGGATAAAGGAGGAGGTGTTAGGGGTAGTAAGTGGCGTGTCTGTAAAAGATGATATATATGGTGAGCACGGATCCGTGCTAGCGGACGTGCTAGAAGATGCAGAGAATCTGGAGCCAGTCGCGCTAAGCGGTTGGGGAGGGGGTCTGCTGGTAGTGGCCATGGCTGGTGATGAAGTAGCGCCTTGTCTGATGAGCTTTTATGAGGGTTTATAAACAGTCCGGATGGAGTCTGTGGCATACTTAGCCCAGTTCTTCCTTGGAAGACGCTGTCCGAGACGTCAGGCCGAAGTTCTAGTGTCAGCCTCCACTACCGAACAAGCAAGAGCGTATGGGTAAATGCTCATCAGACGCTCTGTATTTATCTATATATATATCAAAACTGCAGTGTTGATCTTAGCTCCGAGTCTGACGGGAAGATTGAGTTGTGTGCTAACCTGGGAACATAGTAGGACCTGCCTAACGGACTATGGGCGCCAACATGCCCTTCAATTCATGGCATAGTAAAGCCGACCCGTATATCAGCTAGGAACTGGTAAGGCAGAGAAAGGGCTTGCTATCTGTAGAGATTCCGACATACGGTACTACACCATCGCCGACGTATATGAAGCATCAAGCATTAGCGCGGAGAAGCGTGGGAATAACATACTGGTACATTTATATAAAGTGCAGAAGATTCTTCTCAGGTTCCTCCGAACAATCGTGAGGACTCAAAAGTTCGGGCTTGATATCAGCTCTTCCGCCTTCTGGTCCGCGTTCCCGTCCTCTAGAGCAACCCGGGGTATCTCGCTCTGAGGTACCTAGGCATCTCGTGCTTGTCGACGATCGTCCGTTAGACTGGATCTCTCTCGGTGGAAGCTTCGCAATTGCTGAAGTTCATGAAGTCGAAAGTGGTCTGGAAGGATGATTGTCGCAAGCAGGACGCCTTACACATTCATGTAGTTGGCTGTCGTTTATCGCGTTCGTGCTCTGCGTTGTGCTTGTAGTGCTTTCGGGATAAAACTGTTTCTTTTTTGGATGTAATTGTGATGAGGTTCATCATCACGATTGACTTTTGAGAGAACGTGGCTCACCTGGCCGAGCCTGAAATTTGAAGTCCATATGCGCGACTTGAAGCTGCATCAACAGTGTACGATTTGAACAGTTCTCCATACGAAGGTCACTTCTCGCTGGATGAGGAAGAGGTATGTAATACCCCTCGCTCTAATAAAATGGATCATCTTCATCTCGTGTAGTAGCCATCCCGGTGAACGTCTACAGTTACGGCAGTGACTGCAGTAAAGGCGAGCAAGCCAGATGCGACCTGCTTGCCTTTGTAGTACCGATCACTGTTCAAAATGCGAACTGTAGGACCCACCAGAAGAAGAAGAAGAATATCTTGCTGTATCTGATACACACAACACGTTGCTACCTACCATACGACAAGGGGAAAAGGGGGGGGGGGGTTGGTATGGTTCTCTGCCGCTGTTGGACGTCGATGATATATGATCCCCAGTTAGCTGGACCTTGAGTTTCCCTTCCGTGAAAATACTTTCCATTATAAACCAGGTGAGCGGAGTGCATGGTCGGCGTATCTCCCGGCATGTGCTACACGCCGCTTTCCACAGATAGCCCGCAAGACCAGTTCTGACCGGCTCGACCTGGGATCAGTATTGTGGAACAAGTGTATCCTTCAATTGTCATTGATCCGGTAAAGCGTTCCCCCGCAATCACGAGGTGCGTTCCTGCACGCTTCGAGAATCGATGCATTCCTATTGGGCGACTTTCGTAGTGGACGACAGCATCCCTTGGGTGCTAGAATCTTCAAAACCTTTTCTCGGTACCGCCCAAGAGTAGTTGAGGACGAGTCTGGCCGCGCATGCCCAGGCTCTCGAGATTCTACCCAATCCCTCGACAGCTTCTCACGTTCGCCCCCTGAATTACTCCTTCGCATCTTTGCAGTTCTGGCAGCCTCCGATGACATTCAATTCTCCTCCGCTTCTCCAACTTTCGCGGATCTACTGCTCGGAATCACTGCGTCGTCACGGGGATCGCCCAGGATTTTCCGTACCTCTCCAAGTCCGGATTCAACATGCAGCAGGCGGAATGGCCTGCCTAGAAGAACTGGTGGGGTCTTTGGGATGTGTTCCCGCATATGTTATCCCGCCGAAGTACCTACGGCATTGCCGCATCGGAGTAGGTTTGGAAGGTCTGTGAGCTTTGGTCAGCGAAGTAGGTGAGGCTCTACCGGCAGTCCACAGCCCGAAGTCTGTATGCGCTTAACGTTCTCTTCGACACTGGCAGGTGCTGTTCGCTGTATTCGTCTTGTTGATTTCGTCATACTTTCTGGTGAGTCTGCTCGGGCAGTATATTCTTACTCTTGGATGGGAAACAGAAAGGCGTCTCATCTGGTAAATCTCGGATCGATCGTACATCCACGTGGACGAGTCGTCAGTCAAAGTGCACAGAACCAGGCGGAATCTGGGCGGGCTATAGAAAGGAAGCCTCCGAATGCAACCCGAATCTATTCCTACTCGGCGCTCCGTCATGCCAACAAAATCCGGGGCTACCTCTGACCAGTCATTGTATGGAGTCCTCGGTTTGCCATCAGCTCATGATACAATCCCGAGTGTTGTCCGCTGTATCCATGATCCCGGAGGGAATCTAAACCCATGTTTGCTAGGTGTATGACTGCCACAAAAATACACCTGTCAGTTCCGACGTAGCTGTAATGTCTATTTCATATTCGGAGGATTCTGCCACTGCATCGGTTTCCCCGAACTTTGAACGTGGCTGGCGGCAGGGCCGGGCCGTCGGACATTCTGCGTTAACAACGGTAGGAACGCGACCACTTCATTCTTGCGCAGGCGTGGTGGCGGCCTGCAGCAACTTAACCGGTCAGGAGGACCAGAGTGTTTAATTCAAGTGACGTCGGAGTGCGTCTCACGATTCCGCTATAAAAGTAGGGTACGCCTCCAGTTAGCCCATCCAGGCCCCAAATTTCTTCGTCGGCTCATTGCATTGTGAACATGATTTCTAAGACCTTCACCGTTCTCCTTGCCTTGCTGCCCCTTGTGCAATGCGCACCTGTGAGTCCGCGTGCTTCGACCATCCTCACTCCACGATTGATGGCTTGCTTTGGTCCTTGTTAGCCTACTCCCGCCGCCTCTTCGGCTTTGCCGACTGGTACATCTACCGTCGCCCTCAATACTGCGGCGAAGGCGGCAGGGAAACTGTACATGGGTACTGCCACCGACAACGGGGAGCTTACTGACACCGCTTATACCACTATCCTGGACAACAATGCAAACTTCGGCCAGATCACCCCTGCGAACGCCATGAAATGGGTTCGTTACTCGCGTGTTTCCTGAAAACTGTGTGATTGACCCGGATATCTCAAGGAAAATACAGAGCCGGAGCAGGGAACATGGACCTGGACGAACGCTGACCAGATCGCCAACCTCGCGAAGACCAATGGCCAGCTCCTGAGAGGTAAAAGCTTCTCACTGCTTTACCAGATCAATGCTGAATACTTGCCAACAGGCCACAACTGTGTCTGGTACAACCAGCTCCCCAGCTGGGTGACCTCCGGGTCTTGGACCAATGCCACACTTACTGCCGTAGTTCAGGACCATACTACGGAATTGGTTAGCCGCTATAAGGGACAAGTGTAAGTGTTTCCGAGTTCTTCAGACACCTAGCACCTCTGACATTCCGCTTTTGGTATCCAGTTGTACGTGAACAGCTCTTTCCCCAAATCTTTCTTTAGGTGCTAACGTGTCTGTCAAACAGATGCCTGGGATGTAATCAATGGTAGGATATCAACGCTGAACAACATGTGCGACGACTTACAATGGTGTCATCTAGAGCCCTTCAATGACGACGGTACTTACCGCTCGGATGTCTTCTACAACACCATCGGCCCAGCATACATTCCCATCGCCCTGCGCGCAGCCAGAGCCGCCGACCCTAATGCCAAGCTCTACATCAACGAGTACAACATTGAGTACACGGGTACGCGTCGCCCACTTTTAATCCGCAAACCTTCGACCTGATCGCTTCTACAGGTTCCAAGGCGACAGCTATGCTGAACCTCGTGGAGAGTCTTAAGGCAGAGGGCGTTCCCATCGACGGTGTTGGTCTGCAGTCCCACTTCATCGTCGGCGAAGTCCCCACCTCGCTTCAGTCCATCATGGAGCAGTTCACCGCGCTCGGCGTCGAGGTCGCCATCACCGAGCTGGACATCCGCATGACCCTCCCCGAAACTGCTGCCCTCCTGGAGCAGCAGAAGACCGATTATGACACTGTCATCTCTGCATGCAGGGCCGTCTCCGGCTGCGTTGGCGTCACCGTTTGGGACTTCACTGACAAGGTATGGTACCCCTCGATTCACACATTGATAGGGTATTCTAATGTGAGCGCATTAGTACTCTTGGGTACCGAGCACCTTCTCCGGTCAGGGTGCCGCGACACCTTACGACTCGGTAAGGATAGCTCCACTGGTACCACGATAATCGCATTAATATCTTTGTCCCAGAACCTTGTGAAGAAGCCTGCCTACGACGGAATTGTTGCTGGCTGGCAGTAATGGTGGAGCGCAGTGGAAAGACAAAACACTGTCACAAATTTGTTATTGGGTGCAACATCTGGGGACCCGCATTGACCGTACAATGTTCCGATAGTGCTTGGTGGATTCTCACAGTCGCGAGAGCATACATGGAGCCTTATACTTAGGCCACGGACTGAGTAAATCAAAAAGCACAACCAATCACGAGCGGGGACTTGAATGCGTGGTTTCAGTCACTTCAACAATCCGAATTGAACACGGGTGTTCGTCGGGTCGAAGACCATGTACTGCGTGGCGAGGATCATGGAACCGAATATCATGTAATCTTCGCTCAAGGATTGAAGCTGGACGCCTCCTCGACAGTCTGAGGGTTTGTACCAGTCGCAAGTCAGTAAGGCGACTTCCGCTGGGCCGCGTCGAAGACTCACTTCCGTTCCCTACAGTCCGCCACTTGATCTGGCCCGCACCGACAATTGCGTAGTAGTCTCCCACAAGCATCTGAAAGCTCGGGATGGAGCTGGTGCAAGGGAATATCCACCCATAGTTAGATGTGTATTGTGCTCCGTCGATGGCACCATATAGGTGCGCGGCCGTGTCGTTGAAGACCTTTATGAGCGTGGTGCCGCTATCTATCGGATGACCTCGTTAGAATTCTTTCACAAACGGGTCATACGCGGTTACCTATGATTGCTGTTGTTCCGATTGTGTTGGCATAGACGGTGCTGCCGACCTTCGAGTGCGTGGAGTTGACTTCCCAGTACACCGAGTCGACCAACGTCGCATCGACAAGACTGCCACTGTATTTGGTGTCATCTATATAGCCAAAATCTATACTTCCGGAGCTGGCTCCATGATTCAGATACAACGCAAAGATAGGATTTTCGAGTGATCCCTGGATATTCTCGAAGAAGGTCTTCTGGGGTGAGTAGGTCCCACCACTGGTGTGTACTGATTCGAAAGTATTACCTCTCATGCTGAAGATATTCACAGGAATGCTCACCGGTGTTTAACCCGTTGGACTTCCTCCCGAGGCCTACGAAACCATCTTGTCCTATGTCATTCGCCAAGGAGGTAGAGACATTATTCGCGAGTTCTATCACTGTGGAAACAGAGGCGCCGCCTATGTTGACGGTTTCGGTCCCGATGACGCTGCCTGAGGCACCACCGCTATGGCCAACCTTCCAGGTATATCCGCGCATTGCTTCGAAAGTGCTAGACTTCGACGAGTCATAGTAAGCATGTCCGGAGAGCTGTATAGAGCTCTGCAGAGTGCTCATCACCCACCTATGGAGAGTTCAGCCATCAGTCGGGCGATAGTAGAGCAAGTGTAGCGCACAAGTCTGCGGAGCCGGTATCGATCTCGAGCTGCAGGGTCTGCGAGCCTCCGAACGTCCCATTGCACGTCCACTCTCCGAAACTCTTGTAGAACGTCATAGGAGCGCTCCCAGTCGTCGCACGGGACGACAGGACGCCACTGGAGAACACTGAGGTCCTCTCGAGAGGGAGGCTAAATCTTCCCGGAGTTATGCCTTCCGCTTCTCTGGTGTTCATGCCATATGCGACAGCGAGGCCGCCGCAGAAGGCGACAGCGGCAGCGAGAAAGACCATCCCGAGCGTCTGCAAAATGCGTCGTGATATTTTGCGAGGCTGCTGGCACTTGTGGGAACGGAGGAGGGTTGGTTTATGAGTACGAAGGACATCGTATAGTCCTCTTATACTCCAGGCGGTAGTCACGTCGAGGTCGGCCAGTACCTGTACCGACGCCTAAGAACGAGTCAGTACCTGTCCGTCATGACAGCGATATGTCTTCTTTCGAATATGATATTGTGGGCCATATGACAACGTTCTCAATCCGGGGAGATGAGCCATCGTTTCCCTGTGTCGTCGGGGTCTACGCACTTCAGTCCAGACGGATTTTACGGTATCCTGGACCCTGGCAGCAGGGATCTTGAAGCCCCACAGAAAATGGGTGCAAACAACAACAGCGAGGGATTGCATAGAGAGGAACATAGATGGCTTTGGTGGATGGCAGTGCCGCAGGATTATCGAAGACTTGAGGACCAGATGCAGCAGCTATGAAGCACGACTGGCGTGGTGTCTGCAGACTTGTCAAAAATGTTAGTGCCAGACAACAAAAAAAGCTGTTGCCATAACCATTTCGTTAATGCATAATGTGGAAATCGTCGAATGTCTGGGCTGTAGTATACTCCCTCGGTGGAACGCAGACGCAACGCCTGCTGATCCGTTCTTGAGGCTGCCCTGACTACTTTTCCGGTCAATCACCATCAGTCCGATATACACAATTGCTTTAGAGTAATCTCATCCTGTAGGATCACCTCCTTAGCGGAGGAAAGCTACGACCGACGGTTCGTACCTTGTGCCTTTTGTCTGCAAACTCGACATGATACTACTCGTTGGGACGTTGAGCCGCGTCACCATGTACTGTCACGGTAGATGGAACAACAGCACAGTGGCTGGGCCCGGTGACCACAAAGGTGACCTTGTGACTAGGAAAGGGAGCGATGAGACTCCACCAGTTCGCCACATTCGCGAGTGATCTGCGTGCGGCCCGAAACGGCAGGTAACTTGCCATTTTATCTCATCGTTTGGCTCAATCAATGACAATCATTCCCTTGTACCCGCTAGCTGTGTATCCGACCGCACCTGTGGCCGCACAACGTGCGCAAAACACACTCGCTTGTTGTCCAAGCGAGCGTAGATGAGAGCATGTCATGCATACACAATATCGTCGCATGCTCAAATCATACAAACAGGCACACCTAGTCATCTGCCTCCCTCTCATCTGCGCTGCTTTCATCATCACTGGCGACACCAATAACACCGCCCCCTTGCTTCTCCTTCCACGTCTTTCCGATCTCCGACAGCTTCGCCCCGAACGCCTTCCGCGCCCCGAAGTTCGAACCAACATCCCATACTTGCAGCTTCGCCTTGGAGCCCGCGGCCGCGACGGTGAGCGGATCGTCAGGCGAGAATACAGCAGAGAACACTTTGCCCTGTACACGGAAAAACATCAACAAGAACAACCTTGACGGGTAGGACCTGAAACTCACGACGCCCAGATCACGGGAGGTTACAAGGCTGACTTGCGTCTTGCCGTTGCTGCTCTCGTTTACGTTCCATACCTTAACCATCTTGTCCGTACCGCCAGTGACGATGCAACCGCGCATGTGCGGGTTGACGTCGAGGGCAGAGACTGCTCCGTCGTGAGCGGCGAGTGTGAATCTAGCCAGGGTAGGGGTATTGGGCTTGTTAGCAAGCGATCGCGCGTCGAAGTTCAAGACTGTGCCGTCTTCCAACGAGACCTGCAAACAGTCAGGATAACTAGGAGAATGACCTATACCGAAGAACGTACGTAGAACATATGGGCATTCCAGGGATCCCATCGCAATGCCTCCACGTCAGCCGAGACTACGGTCCCGAGGCCAACACCGGGTGCGCGCGAGTCAAACACCTTTACAGTGCGATCATAGCTTCCCGTTAACAAAACGGTCGGGTCCGCTTGATTCCACTGCACAGACTGGATTTTATCCTCGTGAATATTGTCAAAACTGCGTATCGCACAGCCACTCGCGCTATCGACACCCTCAGCACCTTCCGGCATCAACGACGGATCCCGGCTCAGATCCCACAGCTTTACAGTCTTGTCCGCAGATGCCGAAGCGAGAAGATTACGGTGCGTTCTGTTCCAAGAGAGGGAGAGGACGGCGTCGACGTGATGGTACGCAGAACCTTCGCGAGCCTTCGTCTTCTTTCGTTTCTTCTTACCAGTGCCTAGCGGAACTGGGACGTGCGCGGCCGTCTTGTCTGGGCGGCCTAGGACCATGTCTGGGTACATGCCCTCCACGACGTCGAGAGACCATATCTCAATTTCGGGGTCCATCGTCCCAACGGCGATGTAGTTGCCGAATTGTTTCTGCGGTTGAGCATTATCCGTAGAGGTAAACGCCTGCGCTGGGGGGAAGTCGAGCCACTCAAGGCACAAGGGGAAGTTGGGGAGCATGAGGTCGTGGTGGACGTAGAGGTTCTCCTCGGACTCGTCGTAGACGTATACTTCGAGCTGGGAGACCTCGTCTTCGGTTTTGGCGACGACTAGGAGGTTGTCGGTGGGGAGGATTTCAAGGTCTTCACGTTCGTCATCCTCATTTTCCTGTGAGAGGGATCAGCATGAGTGTCAGACGCAAAGGACCAACGGCATACGTCTTTCAGGGTGATGTAGGGATCATCTTCGTTGTCTCGGTAATATTTCAGCCCTTTGATGTTACTGAACGGACCGAGGGCTGGTATTGACCACGTCAAGCCAAGTCGCCTGAACGGATCGGGGAACACACCTGGTCCAGTATCATCATTGTCATAGTCGTCCAAATTGTATTGCGCGAGATCATCGTCCACAGATTTGTTCGATTTCGGGTCAGGAGCATCTTCGTCCATGCGATCCTCGTCCATGTGATCATCATCTTCCTCGCTTTCAGAAGCTGTTCTAGAGACATTCCGGTATGAACAGCATGATCACTCACTCTACCCAAGCGCTCTCGTCCTCGTTATCCTCGTTATCATCGCCAGTCTCATCGTCAGAACCCTTTCCCATTTCCTGAGCGGCTTCATGCGCACGCTGCAGTTCTAGTCGTGCATCTTCCAGTTCGATCCGCGCGAGTGAGCTGACTCGCTCAAGTTCCTTATCATCTAGGACATATTTTGCCGGATGTTGAGCAGCCACCCCGCGTTTAACCCTTAAATTCCGTCAGCATGATGTAGCACAGGCGAACCAAGGAAACATACCAGGCCACGCATGAGATCAGACTGCTCATCGTTGTCTGCAAGGTGCTCGATCATCCTGTCGCAGAAAATGCAAGCACACCACGTGTGACGTGAGAGATTCTTCTGTTTCCGACTAAACCTCCAGGCTGCTGATGAGCCAATCACAATTATTTCATCCTAAGGGGGTCCTCCGGAGACCATTCAGTCCCACGGTATCTAGCCGGATCGATCTGCGTTCGGATACTCGCCACAATCAAACGTTCTCTACATTTCTGCGTACTTTACCACAGAGCCGCCGTGCTCGCTATATACCTCGTGTTAATATCCCGCAATAATGTCTGACTGGGGTATGCATGCATTCGCATATTCTCGTTGATCTATCCTGATCGATACTCATGCGTGTGAGGAGCGCAGACGCCTCAGACAACGAATCTGCTCCTGCCGCGCCCGCGCGCCCTCCTGTTCCCAAGAAGGTGCCGGTGAAGAGCAAGTGGGAAGGTGAAGATGAGGAGGAGTCCGAGCCTGCGGTATGCACAACTCTGCCGAAGTAGGACCTTGCATTAAGTGCTGATTGTATTCGATTGACATCCAGAGCGACTGGGAGGAGTCCTCTTCAGAGGAGGAGGAGAAGAAGCCGCCTGCGTCCACCACCACTGCCCCGCCCAAGAAGAAGGGCACGCTAAAGCAAAAGCTCGCGGAGAAGGAGGCGGCCAAGAAGGCCAAGGGCGACGATGATATCTACGACGAAGACGAGGTGCTTGACCCGCGGGAGAAGGCGCGGAGAGACAAGGAGCGAGAGCTGAACGCCGACCTCGCGAACGCCGCCGACCTCCTCGGTGCCGCCGCTCTCGGAGGTGCGTCTCACTACTGGTCGACCATGGTCTTTGCCTGACCGGTGATACAGGCACGTCAAGCAAAGAACTCGACGCGCTCCTGACTTTCAACCCCAGAACAAAAGAAGACTTCCTGGACTTCTCGCACCGTGTCTTCGAGCTGCTCATCAAGCGCCTGCAGGATCGCCCGCTGTACTCTTCCTTTGTCGAGCACCATGTGCGCGAGATCGCGGGGCCGCTCAAGGACGTCGAGGTGCGCAAGGCCGCGAGCGCGCTGACGACGCTCGCGAACGAGAAACAGAAGGAGCAGCGCGATAAGGCGAGCGGGAAGAAGAAGAAGGCCGCGGCCAAGCCCACGCTGGGCTCAGCGAAAGTGGTGTCCAAGTAAGTCATTTACATGTTCTACGCATCTTATGCTGTAATAAAACTGACCTCGCATCGCAGGCTCGATACGAGCGCATATGACGAGGGTATGGACGACTTTGGGGCGGATGATTTTATGTGATGTATCTCTCAATGCACTCTTCTCTGGACTGTATCCATACCGCTCGCCTTGGGTCATCTGTAGTCCTAGACGCCAAAACTCATCTTGCTACTTCTTGCTTGCGATGTCTGCACGCCGTCCCAAGAGCCCGTACTATGAGCGTGGGGATGGTGCCTCTTGTCCAAAGTGTCCAAAGTCGTGATATTGTCCTCCAAACCCAGTTCTTTACGCGGCGTGATTTTCAAGCATTAACGAAGAATCGAACAAAGGCGAATCATAAAGCTAATCAAGAGCAAACACATGAGTATGCTCAAGCGGCATTTCTGGATTCCGTCCCGAGGCACAGACCACTACAATACCCATATTGAGTCACTGAGAAAGTGTGAAAGGAACTGGACAAAGGTCAAATTTTGTTCATAGTGTTGCCTCGCAAAACAAATGGAAGTTCAATGAACAGTGCTGAACAAAGATCATATCCCTCACAATCAGATTTTTGCGCACTCAAAAGTAGTATTATTCTAATTCGTTTCAGTGACTGTGCAATGGACAATCATGAAAAAAGTTTGACCTTTGACTGGTTATTTTCAAAGTTTTGTGCATGCTCAATATGGGTGATGTACCCAGTGGACATGTGTATGCAAATTATACCGAAGCATTCAAAGGGTAAGGGAAAAGGCCTTGGACATGTGGAAGCTAAGTTAGAAGTCATTACAAACATGATGAGGCTGCAGGGCAGTCTGTTACCCGGCGGTGTGCTGCCCCGCGTTGGGCTGGCTGTCATTTGACGAGGTAGCGTCGGGATGACTGCCGGCGGTGAGTGGTGGGCTGATGATTGTGTTGAGTAGATAACGCGGTAGTCTTCGGGTAGTCGGTTAGACTAGAGCACGAATGTACGGTCGAGTGAGGGTAGATGAATTGAATGAATTATAAGCTGTAGTACATATCCATGATTTGTGAAGTCCAAGCAACTTTCCCTTGTGCCACTCGTTCTTCACGCTTTCAAGCGCGTTGCTGTATTGTGGCGTCTACCGGCGCTTTGCCCGCGCCCTATCAAGCGCCTCAAGCGCCAACAGATTGAATGGCTGGTGTCTCGCAGGCTGGCCTTCGGCTGGCCAGTAGTGGACTGCCTGGCTGCCGTTCGACGAGCCGGCATGGTGATGACTGGTGTTCGATGGGCGGATGCTGGAACGGTTGGCGTCTGGCGAGTACTGGACTGCCGGGTACAGGGCTGACTCGTGTCCGGCCTGGCCGTCGTTGGAGGAGCCGGCGTGAGGATGACTGTTGTCTGGTGGGCTGATGCTGGAATCATTGGTGTCCCGCTAGTACTGGACTGCCCAGCGTTGGGTTGACTGGTATTCTGCCTGGCTGCCGTTTGAGGAGGCGGCGTCGGGATGACTGGTATTCGATGGGCGGATGCTTGAACGGCTGGTGTCTGACGAGTATTGGACTGTCTGGTTCTACCGTTGCTGCAATTCCCAGGGCTTGTACGACCGCCCCCGCCCCCCCTGACAACTGGCGTCGGGAATGCTGCTTTCACCATCCAATCGCGACCCATATCGACTCTGTCCAGCACTAGGCAGTCGTCTGTGTGGAAGCCTACCCAGGTATGAAAGTAAGACAAGGACAACTGAGCGCTGCTGCACTCACTAGTGAGTATTTGGAGGGCCACTGGAAATTGCAACTAAGCGTGCTGCACAGCTAGCTCAGGCAGCCTCTAGCGCTTTTATATTGCTGCAGGCTAGACTGGTGGGAACGGAAGGGACGAACGTACAGCCGAAGCACATGAAACACGATGCGTCTTAAATATAAGTAGTGGTGACTCACAGCTTTGAGTCCTCCGATGATGTCGAACTCGGAAAGTAAATAAGGGCTGTCAGAAATGTTATAGATAGTGAGCATCGCATAATAAATATGTGTAGAGTCTGTCTAAGCGCCCGTACTTGACGCAATAATAGTTGTTAGACTCACGTTTATCGCCCTTGGCCCTAGACACTAGCGCAGACCCTGTGAAGTGCAATTCAAAACCATCACTTCCTGGTTCTGTAGAATTGCGAATGAACACTTGCTGGATGCGAAGATGGGCCGGATCTTGTGAAATGTGATATCTTTAGAAGAGCCACAGATTTGGTGCCGCTAGTCACTCAAAGCCACATCCGCCCGGCCACACATGTGCAGATGCGCGCACATCAGATATGAGAACCGCCCCGGGAATGATGTTCCATTTGGCAATTGAATTCTGTGCTGTCTCAGGCTGTGTCCCCCACAGGAACGACTGGAGAAGGACAAGTGTGCGCTGGAGGACCGTCAGCTTCTTTCTGGCATAGAGTCCGATACATACAGAACTCACCGTGTATGTGAAGATACGCGACAGGATCGCAGGGCACGGTACACTCAGGAAGGCGCTCGTCTTCGTGGCACGACCGCAGCGTTACGGCACACGGGCAATGGATACATATTGAGGCGAATCGCACGGCGCAGCTTTGGTGTAGCTAATTCAAGCCCTTCGAAGGACACACACCACAGGGAAAACACTCGCAATGAAACTTTGCGTGGCATTGCAGCAGATAATTCATAGACCATGATACGTTGCGGACATACTTTATGAGATATCCACAGAAACGGCACCGCTAGGTAGGTACTAGTGACACCGGGGAGGAGGGTGTGGTTGAGAGCAAGGGAGCCCTCCTGTTGAACCAGGGTGGGTCGCGGCCAAGCTGGACCGCCTTGGTCTCTCTGGCACTAACCCGGAGACTGTGGCGAATCCCGGACCCGGCCCGGCCCTCGTTAAGACCAAGGTTACAAGTACCCACAAGAAATAGTAAATCTCCTCCAACGCAACCATGAGGTGACGCCCTCCCCTCCCCCTCCAGCCCACTGACCCCACCCCCCAGCCAGCCCGCCCCTCCTGCGCGCCGCCTGCGCGCTCGTCCCGACGCACGGCTTCACGCGCCGCGCGCTCGCGCTCTCCGCGCTCTCCCTCCCGCAACCGCATGAACAACCGCTCTCCGACACGGCGATAAACGCGCTGTTTGGCGAGGGCGACGACGCGCGCCGGACGCTGGCGGACGCGTGGTTGGAGAATGCCCGGGAGGAGGTGCGTGGGCGGTTCCAAGGCAGGGCGCAGGTGCCGAGGGTAAATGAGGTGCTGGAGGCGAGGCTGGAGGCGAACGAGCCGGTGTTGAGGCACCTGCCCGAGGTACGCTATATCCCCTTCCTGAGCTTGGCGTATGCTCAAAGGGACACGTGCGGAAGGCGTTCGCCCTCCTCGCGTCGCCGACGTACCCCCTCCCCCCGCTCGACCCCCGGCCGGGGCTGAAGCACGCGTTCAAAGTTGCCGACGACGCGTGCCGTATTGCTGGGGAAGCTACAATCGGGGTACGTTCCCTCGCATACCCATCGACTCATTTTGCTTATACTCCCGACAGACGGATTGGTACGTCCGCCGCGGCACGCTCGCAGCCATCTACGCCGCCGCAGGTGCGTTCACATCTCCTACTGCCGTGACCGTGGTAGTGTAACAACCAAACGGACTTGTAGAGCTGCACCAGCTAACCTCGCCCACCACGGCTTACGCCTTCCTCGACACGCTCCTCGCCGCGTCCGCCACCGCCAAGTCCTCCCTCGACGACGTCGGCACCTTCGCCAACTACATCGCGCGCAGCTGGGCGGGGATCGTCCGCAGCTCCGGCGTCTTCTAAATTTCAACAACCGACACTCCAGATTCATATCAACGTCATGCTGCGAGAGGTACATTAATCACCGGTCAACTTTATTGCAAGTCGAGTGACGCGTCAATAGATAGTATGCTATGTGTATACGTATGCGCCGATACATTAAATAAGACAACAGAGATCCGTCCAGTCCGAGCATATCCAAAGGAGCGTATAGGTGACACCACGGCCAATATCAGCAATCGCAATCCGAACCTAAACCAGGGCTATACAAGCCCCCGCCCGCCCATCCTTACCGTATCTCCGACGGCACGAATGAGTTCCGCCCACAGTCCCCTTATCAGCCCGTCCCCAGCGGGCGCGTGCACAAGCCGCTTGCGCACCTGCTCCGCGGTGCCGCCCATCGCCGCGCCTCTACTCCTCCTGACCTTGAAGAGCAACGACGCGAGCGGGAGCACGAGGACCAACACGACGAACCCCGTGACTCTGGACGAGTGGTGCCGCACGTACTCGCGCACGAACGCGAGGACCTCTGACGCCGTGCGGGGCCACGCCGCGGAGGATGTGGGCAGGGACACCGGCCGGCGGGAGGGGGAGGAGAGGAGCGAGAGCGGGCGGGGCGTGCCGGGCGTCTGGCTCCGCGGGGGTAAAGATGCCGAGTCCGCTCTGCGCGGCGAGCCGATTGTGGAGGAGCGCAGGTGCGTGATTTTGCCCGGGCGCGTGCGCGGGACGACGGTGTGCGTCGAGGTGGTGGAGAGGGAGGAGCTGGAGGAGGAGGACGCGGAGGGCGTCGGGGAGGGCGTGCGCGAGGGGGAGAGGTGCGCGGGCGGAGGCAGGGACTGGCGGGCGGCTTGTGTGCGTTGGTGTTGCAGCGTGCGCATCATGTGCTATGCGTTGCTTAGTTACTGCAGCATTGAGAGGTGATAAAGCGGACACACCTCGCGCCGCTCCCGCGGCAGCTCGCTCTCGTAGCGCAAAAACTCGCGCGCATAGTCCCACTCTTTCAGGCGCGGAAGGACGTGCAGAGTGTACAGCTCGACGACCCTTTCGTACCCGCCCTCGCCCTCCGTCTGCGCCTGGTCGACCTGGCCCCTCCGCGCGAGCCACTCCTCGATCATCCCCCTTCCAATATCCGGGCACTCGAGCTTGAGGCTCGCGAGCACGAGCGTGACCAGTATCTGCGCGGGCGTGAACGCGGGGTTCGGCTTTTGCGGGGGCACGGTCGGCGTGTAGAGGCGCAGCGAGCGCGTGTGCAGCGCCGCGACGAGCGAGTGCGGGGACAGTATCAGATTGCTCCGGAGCGCGGGCGGGAGCGCGTCCGCGTCGGGCGGCGGCTGCGCGCAGAGCGTCGTCTCGAGGGTGATGCGCAGCACGTCCCACTTGCGCCGGTGCGCGTCGAGCTCATCGAAGGGCCGGTACGCGGGCGGCGGGAGCACCTCGAAGGCGGCGGTGATGAGCTCATGGGTGCGCGCAAAGTCGCGCTGGAGGAAGGCTTTGGCGGCGCGCGGGTAGAGCGCGCACAGGGTCGCGGTGGCTGCGGCGGACGACGACGACGACGACGACGAGGGCGGGGAGCCGCCGCGCAGGGGGATGGATGCTGGAGAGTCCGGTGCCAGGATGGAAGTGGTGGTGGTGAGAGACATACCGCGACGAGTGCCGGGGACGCTGCTCAGGGGTACGCCTAAAGGCAATCATGAGCAGTGCGCCCGCACGTACCGGATAGGCGGAGAGCCGAGACGCTGCGTAGTCCCTCACAGCAACCGCACAGTGCTTGCAAAGTCTGGGTCCCACCTGGCCTCACCTGGCCTTCCCACAATAGCAGTATAATAAGAGTGGACGGTTGATCGTACCGTCCAGTATTATGAGACTCAAAGGCCTTTCAGGTCGACTCCACCGGAAGCGTTGGTCTCAATGTCGGGACTCCAGCACCTCCATGCGGACTCTGGTGAATGCAGTACATCTCATTCCAGCGGACTCCAGCCGGAGCCGGAGACTCCAGCACAACTGACTCCAGCCAGCTCCGGCGGGAGCTCTCACCTCCAGCACCACTGACTCCAGCTAGCTCCGGCGGGAGCTCTCGACTCCAGCGCCACGAACTCCAGCGAATTCCGGCTGGAATGTCATCCGCATTTCAGACTTAGCAGGACTTGTGGCCGTCGTACGTATTATGCAGCCGGTGGTTGATAAAGCATCCGATATTATAATAAACTACGTACAATTACAAAAAAGTAACCCTCCTCTGTATATAGTAGCAGAAGCCATTATAGACTGTGTTAGAAGACCATTACGTATGTCATTATTTGAAGAAAGAACAAGAATACTTGATGAGCAGACATTCCACATTCAAAGTAACCGCGTAGATGTCCTTAAGCAAACGATAAATGCACCCCTGTGCACGGGTCTACATCTCCTTCCTGACCCGTGGCAGCAGTCGGAAGCCCTCCCTCATCAACATCGATGAAGCGGCCGGGCGAGAAACAAATGAAAGCGGCGGGATCAAAGTTGAAGTTCATTGATGAATTGGGTGACATACCGTTGAACTCGAAGGCAAACGATGCCATGTCAGATGTCCCAACAGCGGCTGTTGCAAAATCAAATGCATCGGAGGATGCAGGTATCGACGACAAGTCGGCGCTTGGAAGAGGAGATGGGATCACCGAGACCAAGGCGTCAGAATTGTTCATGTTATTAATGGTGTTCGGGTAGAATAGGTCCGTCGGCGGCAGAGACAGCATCTTCGCGTTCGAGAGAAGTGGGGTGTTGATACCAGATGGGATGTTGAACGACGCGGAAGAGCCGAGCACAGTGGTGGCCACTGCACAGTCTGACGGAACAGCGTCCGATGCGAATGACATGGGTATGGGGTCAGATGGGGTGGAAGGGCTGGGAGGGACATTCTCGTCGCTCGCGCTGCTAGAGCGCTGGTTGATAGCGACAGCAGAAGTCGCTCTGCGCTCGTTCGAGGGGGCCTGCAGGTGAGCGTGGACTGTTGGACCGGCCGGTCTGTCTTCAAGACGAGGCTCGCGAGGAATGGGGCTGCTCTGCTGGTGTTCGGTATCCTCTGACTGAGAGTCGCGAGGGACAGGGTTGGCTTCCTGGTTCTCGTCATCCTCCGACTCTGACTCGTCGCTCACGAGCTCGGAGCTCTTGATTCCGCCCTTCTTCCTCCCGGCTTTCTTCT